ATTTAAAATCTCAATGGACGACATACAGGAGCAAGTGTTAAGAAAGATACCGTCTGCTCTTCACTGAGCATTTCCTCTACAACCAGGACGTGGCAGGTACTAAGATGAGGATGCGAAGTTAAGCAAGATAGCTGTGGTCAAGTGAGAGAGATAATATGGAAGTAAGGCATTTGCCTTGCATGTGAGTAACACTCCCCTACCCCCCCACTCCCCCGCCCCTCGGGTTGGAGCGATAGCACAGCTGGTAGGGCTTTTGCCTTGCACGCGGCCATCCTGAGTTCAATTCCTTCGCCTTTGATTCCTCTGCCCCTCTCCGAGTGCCCGGCAAGCCACAGAGAGTATCTCGCCTGAACGTCAAAGCCTGGCAAATTACCCGTGATGTATTTGATATGCCAAACACAGGAACAAGTCTCACAATGGAGACGTTACTGGGCCCGCTTGAGCAAATCGATGAGCAATGGGAGGACAGTGACAGTGACAGTGAGTTACCCCAGCTCAATCCCTAGTTCCACATGGTCCCGAGGAAGCGCCCACCCCGAAGATCACCTAGTGGAGCCTGGGAGGTCCCCAGAGCTGGTCGAGCTAATCCCTGACACCACAGGGTCAAAGCAATACTGCATCCTTGGACCCTTGCATAAAATGGGCCCAAGAATTCCCTGGAGGGGCCTGTGTGTCCCCTAAGCACATGAATTAATTTCCAGGGGACAAAGAGACTGTATTATTGAATTAAATCCCACTTTGTTCATGATATAGAATCTTTTCTATATTTATCCTGGTTTGGGTTGTTTTGTAGGATTTTATATTAATATTTATAAAAATATATTATTGTGAATTTCTTTTCACATGATGTCTTTTGGTAAGTGGGTAATACTGGCCTAATCAAATAAAATCTGAAATGTCACCTCTTTTCAACTGTTAATCTTTAAATGTTTGTTAAAATTCACTAGTGAAGTTGTTTGGGTTTGGGCGTGGTTAAAGTTACTGGGATATACTTTAATCTTGTTACTTGCTATGTGTTAATGCTTTCCTATTTCTTGAGTTAATTTTGTTCCTTTGTGTATTTGTAGGAATTTGATTGCTCGAGCGGGCCCAGTAACGTCTCCATTGGAGACTTTGTTGTTACTGTGTCTGGCATATCGAATACTCTCGGTAGCTTGCTGGGCTCTCCGAGAGGGGCGGAGGAATCGAACTCAGGTCGGCCATGTTGGCCGCTTGTAAGGCGAACACCCTACCCGCTGTGCTATCGCTCCAGCCCGAATTTGATTATTTTACCTAAATAATTTGTTAGAATAGAGTATGCCCTTAAAATTATTTTTTGCTATAAAGCTGGTAGTGATATTCTCTATTTAATTTCTAGATTTAATAGCTTAATTCCCTTCCTTTTAAAAAAATAACAGGTCTGATTAAAGACCATCTAGTCTATGATTCCATGAAATCAGTTGAAAAATTCGAGAAAAAGTTTTTTTTAAATATTTCACTTATAAATAAAGCTCTATAGTGTTTTTCTTTCTGGATTATTTCATTGAGTACAATGCTCTCCACATTTAGTCATGTATCATAAAAGGCAAGTTCCCTTCCATTTATGGCTGCATAATGCTCCCTTCTAAATGTACTTATATTGATCTCTGTGTCACTCTCAGGTGAGATCAGCTTTGGTGCTGTCTGTATATACGAGTTTGGTAGCAAGGGTGTGGATTGCTGGGTTTGTCAGCTTTTTACCCTGTGGGGTGAAATTCCTGGGGGGTGGAAGGGGATTTCCTCTGGCATCAGTGAATGAAAGGATGCCAGGAAAAAATGCTTTCTACATTATCATTTCACTCCACAGGTGGTTTGCTTCCCTGGAGCTGTTGGCTGTTTGTAGTTGTCAGAGGATCGAGGATATTCCACTCACATGCTTCCTCATCCTCTGAGGAGACTTCATGAGAAAGTCAGGGTAGTAGGCCAGTCCAACTCTTCCCAGACTATGAGGAGGCAGTTAAGCCAGCTTTGGTGTTAAGATCTAAGAAGACTGAGCATGTGCACCCTTCCTCTCCTGTACTCCATCATCAATACCATTACTAAGACTTCAAAGGGAACTAAACTAGGAGTTTAACTGAGAACCTGATTTTTCATTTTCAGTGCTATTCAGTGTAACTCAAATTCATCAATCTGGAAATCTTGGAGTCATTCCTTTGCCTTGTTCCTTCCCCCCTCATTGAGTCCCTCTCCTCCTTCCCATCAAGTCACTCAGACTACCGAGCCAAGGTTCAATTGGTCTCTGGTACTTTTATTGCCAAATGGGCCAGTGCAACAGTTCTCTTAGTGGTCTCCAGCCACTCCCTCCTATACCCCAGGTTAGCCACCATTCTATGGATGCCCAATTCCATCTAGTGATCCTCAATTAAAACCCAAAACGGAAAAACAAAACTCACCATCAATGTCCCATGACCATCATCTTTTATAGTTATTCCTCAGCCTGAAGCTCAAGAACTTCTGCAACCTGACCCCAAACCACTGTAATTTTAATCATCATATCATTATCATGAAATAATTCCAAGTCTCCATTTTAGTAATGATGGTATAGCTATCATCCTTTTAATCAATTTATTATTAGTGAATCACCGTGAGGTACAGTTACAGGCTTACAAACTTTTGTGCTTGCGTTTCAGTCATACAATGATCGAGTACCCATTCCTCCACCTGTGCCCATTTCTCCCCACCAATGGTCCCAGCATCCCTCCCACCACTCCCACCCCATCCCCTCCACCCTACCCCGCCTCTGTGGCAGGGCATTCCCTCTTGCTCTCTCTCTTTTTGGGTGTTGTGGTTTGCAATAGAGATATTAAGTGGCCATCATGTTTGGTCTATAGTCTACTTTCAGCCCACATCATCATCCTTTTAATAAGCGTGAGCGATCTTCCTTTTAATAAGCAATGTAGTAAATCCCCACAACTTTGTTGCAATGGACTTTCCACAGGGATGAATAGTTGAGGATGCATCACAGGATTATCCAACTCATATGAATTCACCAAGTCCACATGAAGTTATTTCTCTTCTAAATTTTCCTCTACTATCTTTTGGCTTCCTTCTACCCAAAACATCTATAAAACTCACTTTTCCATCCATTTAGCCATCTACATTTGTCCTTGAAAGCTAACAAATTATTTCATGCTAATCCATGCTTTTACACTATGTGTAGGTACCATGTTGAATAGTTTCTGGTAATGGTCCTTAAGATTTTTCCCACCCCTTTTGTTCCTCAAATTACTAACCCCCAATTAATTGAACCCATATGCATATTAGAATTTCATTTGCATATAGCATCTTGTGTATGAAGAAAAAAACAGGATAATCCGTTATTATACAATAATCTTATATTTTTAATTCTTCATATGAGAAGCAATTCAATATTTGTAAGGAGATATATAACCTAAGTTTCTTCATTATTTTATATTTCTGAACAGTGCTTCTAATTTTATGGGAGCTATTGAAGTTATGGACCGCTACCTCTAAGTAAACCAATGGACTCACAATTTGTAAAATAATGAACCATTTAAAATTCATGAACCTTTTTTAGGCTTAAGAAATCTCTGTGGGCCAGAGAGGGAGAATACAGAGGTGAAGGTACTTGCTTGCACGCAGCTGTGGCATGACAGTGGTCTGAACCCCTGCTCTGCACTTCATGTGTTCCCCCAAGTCCCACCAGGTGTGAGCCCCGACAATCAAGCCTGGAGTGGCCCTGAGAACTGCTGAGTATGCCCGAAAACAAATAAATGAAAGAAATGCGAATGAATAAAAGGTAAAGAAGTCAAAGAGACTGTGTCTGTGTGCTCCAGAAATTACAGCACTAGTACTTTAAAAAGCAGCAGACAAGATTCTGGAATGTGCAGAACACTAGGACTTAAGTCTGCCCAAGCTCTAAACACTAGTACCAAGCAGGTGACTTGTCAATATCCTCAGTGACCTTTAGCTTCCTATGAGCGGTCCTGGTACAGAGAAGCAAGACCAACGAGGTCGTAAGATTTCTGAAATGAAAATGTTCTCAGCTAAATTGCTGAGGCAGAAGGGGGGTGGTGGTAGGGAACAGAGAAGTGATCCAAAAAGGCAGAAATACAATCAATATAAGATTTACAAATTCCATCATATTCAAACAGGGTCATGAGAACAGCCAAATAAATATTTAGTTAAAAAGCCAAATTTCAAAAGACATTTACTGTTATTACTTCTTTATCAATCTGACCTGGGCTGGAGCGATAGCACAGCGGTGGGGCGTTTGCCTTGCACGCAGCCAACATGGCCGACCCGAGTTCGATTCCTCCGCCCCTCTCGGAGAGCCCGGCAAGATACCGGGAGTATTCGATATGCCAGACACAGTAACAACAAAGTCTCCAAAGGAGACGTTACTGGGCCCTCTCGAGCAAATCGATGAACAACGGAGGACCGTGACCGTGATCAATCTGACCTGATTTTTAAAATGCATTCAAGATAAAAACAAAAATCACAAAGGTTTTAAAAATCATGTGCTGATTCAGGGTGTCTTCTGCATTTTCTTGGGACAATGTTTTTAAGAGGTGGAGATATTGGCACATTCTTAAAAGAAATGTTCATACACCTTGCCAGTGATATCAGTAGAGCATTTCATATGAAAACAAAGCATGCCATTAAAAATAAGAAACTCTAGTTTGAATAATAGTTCGAAGTCTCTGCTGGGGGGGAGACTTCCTTTCTATTTCCCTTTATGATCAGAAAATTCTTCCATCTGCACCCTTACTCCAAGAGGACACACAAAATATCTGACTCCTGAGCACTAAAACGAAAACGGTCACTTACAGCATCTCCTCCGTTTTCTACGACTTCTCGTCCTTGGAAAATGCCCTTTCTCGATGACAGGTCCACACGTGCCACTGCTGTGTCAACACACCCCAACCATTTATTGCTCCATTTACTGTTTCCTACACAACCAACACAAACATGACTCCTCGAGGGAAAGGCGAAGCGGCTCTCCCGGGGCGGTCCCCGTCCTACGGGGCCGCGGGGGCCGGGTCGTGCTGGGCTCGTCTCTCCGGGATGCCCCCCTGCAGGGACTGCTGCAGCCTGGCGATGCTGGCGTCCAGCGCGGCCAGGCCGGCGCGAAAGTCCCGCTCGTCGCGCGACGTGAAGGTGGAGAAGGAGGAGACGCTCCAGTCCGAGCGCACGTCGGAGGCGAAGCCGCTGGCATCCGAGCGCCCGCCGCTCCTCTCCGGGGCGCCGGGCACCTGGCCCAGCGCTTCCCGGATGGCCCTCAGGAGCTTCTTGTCCTCCCGACACGGCCCCGCCTGCTGCCCGGCGGCGTCCACGCCCGTCCCTTCCCCGCGGCCGCCGCTGTCCGGGCGCGCGCGGGGCTGCGGGGACGCGCGCGCGGCCAGCGACCTCCTGGGCGTGCTTCTGGCGAAGGGCACGTAAACGGTACTGTCCACGGGGCACTGGGCTCCCAGGACGGCCGCCACGTCCTCGGGCCTCTCCGGGGACGGCAGGGAGGCCAGCCCCTGCGGGGACAGGCCCCCCGCGCTCCCGCTCCCGGTGCTGCTGGGCGGTGAGGCCAAGGCCTCGGCCAGGACGGCTGCGAAGGGCGGGCCGGGGACCTCCCCGGGGGCCGGGGGCCGCAGGGTGCCCGCCTCCAGCCTGGTTAGGTAGCTCATCACAGAGGTGTGCGGGGGGACCGGGTCGTGCTGCAGCTGCTTATCATAGATGTCCAGGAGCGATTTGGTCAGGTTGTTCCCCGGCTTGCAGCGAGTGTGGTCGGTACTGAGGTCTGCGAGAAGCTTTGCCATGCTGCTCTGTAAAGTTCTGTTAACAAGAATGTGGAGACTCGTTATTTTTATTATCTACATACATCTCGTCTTTGCAAAAGGCTCTGAGGCAAGTTCCGGGTTTTTCTTAAGGAGACGGCCAACCAAGAACAGAAACTCACCCAGAGAGTTCTGCAAAGAGTGCCAGTGTGCACCAACTATTATATCTAAAATAGAGGCTCTGAAATATTTCCTCTTATAGAGATGTTTTACTGTGCAACACTGCAAAATGGTAAATACACTACTCATCTGTTAGTGGAATCTGTTACTTATGTATATGCCAAGGCCACTGGGCTAATACTGGAGAAAGAGAGAATGGTTAGACATCTACCTAGCGTGATTAGGTACAGGCAGCAGCTAGGTAGCAGTGATAGAAGGAAAACCAGGCATAGTGTGAAGTCGCAGAAATGGAATCAAATTCCAGCAATATCACTGGAGCAAGCCACTCCATTGCAAAATGAAGGAACTGACACTTCAGAATTATAATGAATATCATAGAAATTTTTGAAATACAAGCATTTTATTTAAGTTTCAGGCCAAATGGGTATTCATCTGACAGCAGCTCCTATTAAAACAATTTTATTTTTTATCTAAACATACATACAAAAATAACCCAAAACATGTGTGCATGCATGCGCACGCACGTACACACACGCACACACACACACACACCCTTATTCAACTGAATTGTATGACAACAAGGAAGGGCAATGGAGTAAGTGACAGAGAAATTTATCTGTACTGTGAATTTCGCCACTAAAAGTAAAAATTAATCACAGCAGGCCAGCTCTGATATTAGAGACGTTCCTGAGTAACTGGATTGCATGAGGTGTCAGCATATATACTATTAGCCATCAATGTGTATGTAGATACTATTAAACTCAAAGACCAGGTTCTCTGTTTGATTTGCTTTTTGAAGGACAAAACAAGTCTACTCAGCATTCAGTTGCATATCCTTCAGAAAATGCAGGATACTAAAGCCAGGAGGGCACTGCTGAGCCCCTGCAGTGTGTTTCTGCAGTTACCCAAAGAGAAGCCTGCCTGGCTAGCAGCTGAGCTAGTAATCGGGAGGCATGACCTGTGCCCACGTCCCAGAAAAGGTCCTTCTAACTCTAAGGGAAAGACTGGATCTCCAGGAGAACCACATGTCTATAGCTAATGTTTTAGATCGTGTTTCCTAAAAGCCAGGGACAAGAGCAGAGCAGGTAAGGTGTGTGCCGTGCACGCAGCTGTCCTAGGTTCTATCCCTGGCACCGCATATAGTCCCTTGGGCACAGCCAGGTGTGACTGCTGAGCGGAGAGCCCTGAGCACCACCAGGTGTGATCCAAAAAACAAAAAGTAAAAAAAAAAGTTTAGAAAGAGGTTTTTAAGTTCATGATATATAGAAATCAATGAGATCTTTTTTTCAGTTCCTCTGCTTCTAAGGGTTTATACGGACTGGGAAAAGGCTTCTGTTACACATTAATCCTTTTTTCAATTAGCATATTTACTAAAATACACTAAAAAAGGCAAATTGTTGTTCTGAAAAAAAATTGAACAGGTAAAAAGGTATTTTCTTCAAAAGTAGAAGAATCTCAATAATAGATCACTTCCCAGAGAGAAATTACCCTTTCAAAACAGGAAGTGATGAGGGAATCTGAAATCTCAGCTCAGGTCCCAGCTTGTGGTCAAAGCCAGGTGTGTTCTTTCAGGGAAATTAGCATTTGCGCTAATTTCTGAAATTGCTCTTATTTATTCTGAAAGACTACTCTTATATTTCTGCATCAAGTTTCTTCATAAATACACCAACATTTTAAACCATTTAAAGTATTAACTATTTAAACTATTTTAAACTACCGAGAGTATCTTGCCCACATGGCAAAGCCTGGCAAGCTACCCGTGGCGTATTTGATATACCAAACACAGTAACAAGTCTCACAATGGAGATGTTACTGGGCCCACTCAAGCACATCGATGAGCAATGGGAGGACAGTGCTACAGTGCTATTTAGTTGTGCTTTCATTGAAAAAACCATTTATTTCCCAGATACATTATCAATACACCAGAATAAGTTTTTTATTTTATGATGTGGCTATTTAAAAACAAAAAAGACTTACCATTTTTGTGTTTCAAATATATTTCGAACATGATAATGTTTAATAAACAAACGAATCCATATATTCACCTATCTCCCAATGTTAAAAAGATATTAGGCTTTGAGGCCAGAGCTATTTGAGCAGGGAGTTTCCCTTGTACGTGGCCGACCAGCATTCGATCCCAAACCTCCACATAGACCCAGAACACCGCCATGAGTAATTTCTGATTGCAGAGCCAGGAGTAACCTCTTAGCATTGACAGGCATGGCCCAAAAACAAACAAAAAAAATTAAAGTTTATCTGGACTAAAATAGGCATGGAGTAAGACAAACTTGAAGCTAAAGCCACAGCATGTGTGAGAGAGAAAGAAAGACTGGCTAGGAGTAAGAGATGCAAGCTCTGGTCTGCTGTGACTAACTTTCGATTAATATTAACTTGCATGGCTCTAGTTTCTCCATCTGTGAAAATGCTGATAGAGAAGGTAGAGATAAATACAGATAAATGCAGGTAGAGAAGGAGAAATAAAATGACCTGGGAAAGGACTTTGGGGGAAAAAAACCACCACCACAAAGTACTTTGTATATGAGACATAATGTCAGAGCCATGCCTACAAACCCCCCTCTGCCACCCTCTATGCTCATCTACCAGCCTTGCTCCAGAGATTAAAAAATAAATCTCCAAAGAGGTCAGATAGTTGCAAAAATTCCTCAGATGCCTGTTACTGAGACACCCGGGTCAACCTTGGAGGGGGTCGGGTAGCAGCTTGCTCCCACAGCTCCCTCTCTCCAGTAGGACTCCATCGGACCGAGCCTTAACAGAGAAGTTAACCTGCTAAAAACTAGGTACATGGGTCCCTATGACAGGCCTCTCAGTTGGGATGAGTTGCCTGCCTCCATTTCCCAGTACTTTTGGAAGCCCCAGCAGTCAATGCCCACGTCCCAAAGCCACCACTCAGGTAAAAAATTAAATCCAGCTGGACCAGTTAAAATTCTGGATTTCCTGGAGCATGTTGTGGCTGCATCTGTGTCCACACTACATCTCCAAACTCTACAATACTGACAATCCAGTAGAAGCACACCAGATGAATGGGATGTAACATAGAAGCCAACCAACCTCAACTAACAAAAACATTAACACAGAAGGCTTAACCTATAACAATATCTTAGTAATCCCTCAGACAAGGACTTCCTTTTCTTCTAAGAAAAAAATTTGATCGTTCCTTTAGCAATTTATTCATAACAAGCAATAAAAAATAAATCACACTGAACCTGCTACAGGGGCAGGCTTTAGGGGTGGTTGGGAAAATTGAAGACAATGGTGGAGGGATGGTGACAGTGGTTGTGGGATTGGTGTTGAAATACTGAATGCCTGTAACAAATCATCATGAACAACTCTGTAAGCCTCGTGTTTAAAGTGGAGGGGAACATCTAGAAAAGAAGAAATAGTACATATAAAAATATTAATGTGATCCTCCAAAGAGAGCAGATTAAAGAAGTAGAATGGTATTGACTACATAATTTGGAAATAACAAACATTTATTATGGTATATATTTATTATGTATACATAAATAATTTCCATAAATTACACAAAATTTTCTACTCACATGCAACTTACATTCAAGGTCCTTACAGACTTGTAAATTATTGCTAATTTTTAAGAATGAAATACTCAAACTTTAAAGAAATAATTTAAAAAATAAAAATAAAAGACAATGCCAATTTTTTAAAAAATTTTCTGATCCACAAAGAAGGTGGATTCAGTGAAATGAAGAATATGTGTGAATGACAGGCTTATTTTTGTTTGTTTGTATTTGGGTCACACCTGGCAGTGCTCAGGGCTTATTCCTGGCTCTGAGCCCAGGGTGCCAGGGATCAAACTGAGGTAGGCTGCACACCAAGGCAAGCGCGCTACCCACTATACCATCACACTGGCCCCTGAAGACTTTTCATTAGAAATATTTGATTATTAGCAAAGCTTTACTCCCATTTACTTCTCAAAAAAAAAAGAATATGCAAAACAGTGCTTGTACGTAAGAAAATCCATTTCTGCTGCTTATTTACTTATTTGTGTTTAAACAGAGCCCTCCATCTTTTCTTAGAACACCCCCATCTACTTCACCATTCCCCATATCCTGTTCCCCTCAAGCAACCTTAGCTATTTTTAGTGCCTGCCGTTTTTTTTTACTTCATTTACTCTGTTCATTATCTTATGTCCTTATATGGCACATATGGGTAAAGTAATAAAATATTTATCTCTTCTCTTTGACTCATTTCACTTCACATAAACCCAACTCATTCCATTCCGCTGAAAAATTTCTTTTTATTTTATAGATGAGTCTCATGCTCTACCAACTGAGAAGACCTCCAAAACCCATACAGCCATGCTTTAAGACCACTCTCCACACATTCCGACAAGCCTCACGCATGAAGGAATGGGCAGAGGAACCAAGATGTGCAGGACCCGGGGCTGGCTGACATCTCCAAGCCTGCTTGGAATTGGACCTCCTCCACCCAGATCCCCCATCTTCCAGTAGCTAGGCGTTACACCCACACACTGCCCCCTGCACCCTGTAATCCCATCAACGGCCAAGACCCAGAGACTATAAAACAAAGCTCATAGAAGACCTCTTATTGTCTAGTTCTCGGTCTCAGAGAAGCCAGCAGGCTACCGAAGAGTATCCTGCCTGCACGGCAGAGTCTGGCAAGCTCCCTGTGGCGTATTCAATATGCCAAAACCCAGTAACAATGATGGTTCTCATTCCCCTGACCCTAAAAGAGCCTCCAATGTGACACTTGCTAAAATCTCAGGGCTAGGACGAATAGAGATGTTACTGGTGACTACTCAAGGAAATCGATGAACAACGGGATGACAGTGATACAGTGATTACAGATGAGTAGGTGTTCCAATGTGTGTGTGTATACCACCTCCTCTTTATTCAGCCATCTGCCAACGGGCACTTTTGTAGCTTCCATATTGTAGCTACTGTAAACAACACTGCACTGGGGGAAATGTCAAGTTTCCGTGCTAATGGTTCATGTTCATTGGCTGCACATCCCAAAGTGAGACTGCTGGATCAGAGTTCGCTCTAGTTTTAGTTTCTTGAGGATGTTTCTTTCAGTTTTCCAACAGGGTCGCACCAATTCACATTTCCACCAACAGTGCAAAAGGTGTCTATTAATCCTAAGGATGCCTGTTCAATCGCATCTCTGCCAGCAGGAATTGCTCGGGGAGAAGCTTAGTTCTGGGGAATCAACAACTTCTAAAATCATTATCAATTCAAGATTGTTAGGTTAGTTAGAAGTTTCCTTTCTCTACACACACTCACCAACACCTGTTCCTTTTGAGATACGCTATTCTCAGGTGTAAAGCAGTTTTAGTATTCATTTCCCTGATGACCAGTGCGGGGATGGGGAGGATGTTTTCTCTAGGCCTGTGAGCTCTCTGTATAGTCCTCATCTACCCATTTTTTTAATTAACTTGTTTTTATTTTCAAGTTGTATGCGCCTTAATAATCCTTAATATCACTCCCTTACAAATGTTTGAAGTGCAAATATCTTCTCTCATTCCATAGGCTTTTTCATTTTGCTTTTATTTTCTTTTGCTGTAAAAGCTTCTCAGTTTCATGTAGTTCCAATTATTAAGCTTACTTTAATTTCCTCTGCAGTTAGTAGTCTCCAAAGACATTTCTAACTCTGGTTTATGTTAAGGAATCACGGGGCCCCTTTATCTATATTATCTTCTATGTACATAATGCTTTGGGATTCTATACCTACACTTATAATATGTCTTGAATTTAATTTTCTATATGGGTTAGAGTAGCCCACTATTTTTAAAATTGTGGCTGTCTAGTTCCTCAGGATCATCTGTTCATGCTGTAATTAATTAGGCAATAACACTCTTCTTCAGAGCAACTCAGCAAATTCCCTTACTTACCATGAGTCTTCATAAAATATCAGAAATAAAATGTTATGTTGACAGTTGCTGTAGAAACAGGGCTGAGCAGGTAGGCCGTGTTATATGTCACTGAAACTGGGAGAAAACTGGTCATAAACCCTATCAGCTGATGTTTGCCAATAACTCCTCACAACTGGTAGGATTTTTCGAGACAAGTGTATGTCTGCAAGGGCTAACCAAGATACTGAGCTCTTTCATCATGCTAGGGGGTGCTGAACTGTAATTAACATGTGCTACCATTTAACTGTATTTAACTGTGCTACCATGCCACCATGGTGGGCTAGGTACGAGGCTGCAAAGCGAGGTTTCTGACCCAACAGGACTACATCAACTTGCCCTAGCGTGAGACTCTGGAAGATCTGAAAATGTACCTCCAGACACTGATTATGGAAACTTCTTGGCTAATCAAACAAATCCTCTTACTCTTTCCAAAACTGTAACTCAGGTGAGGAAAAAGTTCTGCATAGTATCTGAGGATTTCCGGAACCATACTCTAGAGCTCTTGAGAACATTTTTCAACTACATTTCCGCCATGCTAACAGCCCAACTCCACTGCACCGTGATTAATCTCCGTAGAGACATCAAACTGAGAAAAATCCAGGTACACTGGTGTTCAGACTGAGAACTCTTGAGTTCTTCTCAAAATGGGAGCAGGCACCCCCACATAACATACTTCCTGAAGCCCTGGCAGCCAACACCCCACAGCCACCACCACGTCCACTAGCTCACTGGCCCTGCTCTACTGATCTTGACTAAATCTCCGACAAGATGGAAGCCACGCCACTGAAATTCATGGACACACCAGTCTCCCAGCTGAAAACTCTGGGACAGCCTTGGGAGGGGGTGAAGTATATGGGGGGGGGGGGTGTCAAGTCCCCACCCTGCTGATGCCCCAGCAGCTGCACTCACATCTCACAGCTGCCATCACACCAAAGGCCCACCTCCACTGCCTCACACTATTTTTTAAAAATCTCTGCTGCGATACCAAACCGCAAACATTCCAGCATTAGTTTTCAGGCTGAGAACTCTGGGGCCCTCTCAGAGTGGAAGTGGGTATCCTCTCCCACCCTGAGTACTTCTGGAAGCTCCAGAAGCCAGGCCCACATTCCACAGCCACCACCATGCTGAATCATCCACTGGCCCAGTTCTACAGATCCTGAAGTTTCTAGACACCTCCAATTTCCACCATACTGACATTCCAATAGGAGCACACCAAATTAGATGGGAAAGTACCACAGAAGTCGATTAAATCCAGTAAACAAAAGCATTAACAAGGAAGGCTAACTAGCAACAAACAGCTGACAACACTGTTCTACTAACAGCAAACATTAGGCAAGCGGCACAAATGCTGGCCAACTTCGACTGTGAGTGTGGAAAGATCAGACTGCAGCTGAATCTCACGAAGCCAATGTTTATGAAAAACGGACTAGTTCCTGACATTACATTTGCTCTCAACGGAATGAACATCTCCAAAAACAGCAGTAATGTGTATCCAGGTTGAGAACTCAACATGAACAACCTGACACCTGAGCTGTGCAGGAGGAAGAGAGCAGTGTGGAACGCCTTCAAGAGCACCGAAGAAATAGCTAAGAGGACGAAGAACCTCCGGCTCCAGGCACATCTCTTCAACTCCACCATTTTCCCTGCACTAACATACACCTCAGAGACCTGGACCCTACGAAAACAGGATGAGAAAACTATTCAGTTCACCCAAAGAGGAATCGAAAGCTGTGCTTGGAGTGTCACGCTTCACTCAAGTGAGAAAAGGAATCCGGAGTTCTGACCTCCGTTGATGACCAAGAATCGGGGAAGCTGTCTCGTTTGCGAAGGCGTCGAAAATCAGATGGGTTGGACGCAAATGTGATTTGAAGATGACCGCTGGGCTAGAGCTGTTACTGACTGGATTGCACATAATGCCAAAAGAATGCATGGCCACCCACCTACGAGATGGTCAGACTTCTTTGTCAAGGCCCTGAACAAATAGTTTGAGGCTCTTTGTCTTCCTATAGCAAGAAGATGCCATTGGCTACACTAGCATGCGACAGGGACAAATGGAGATGTTACTGGTGCCCACTTGAGCAAATCAATGAGTAATGGGATATCAAGTGATCAAGTGATTGTATGTCTGCTTCCAACTTGGTCAATTCACTCATGCAATGAATGAGGCTCAAGAGGCTAGAAAATTGACCCAAGATTCCATGGTATGGGGTCCTATCTTGCAAGTGCTTTTCATGTATTAGTCTTCCCGTGAAGTCTATTCACAACCCCACCTCACAGCTGAAGTTTAGAAGGTCAAGAGCTTTACCGGGGCATATTAGCTCTGTGGGATGGATTCCATTCAGCTCTCTTAAGCTCTAGAGATCCAGAGCCCATAATCACTTTTCTAAACAAGTCTTCAGCTCATCAGATCACATAGTTTAAAAACAAACATTTAGTCAGGGTTGGAATTTTTAAACTATCTTAATTGGAAAAGAAGAAAATATCATTACAAATGAACATGATATTTGACAAAGTTACACAAAAAGATGGAGAAAAAGTAAGAATGAAAATTATTTCAAACTTTGTAAATGTAGTTTAGAAATACATTTTACATACATAACCTGAGCACAGTCACTCAAAGTGAAGTCACCATTACCTGGTTAATTCTCTCAGTCGAGTCACTTCAGCATCACGCTGCCTCAGAGTTATCCCCAGTATCTGGTTTTCCTTTTCCATGGCTTCTAACTTAAACTGTGAGCTTTTCGTATTGACTAAGGCTTCCTCCAATTCTAAAACAACAAATATTTTTTCACTTTCCTTATTTCTTTTCAAAATACATGACTAAAACTACAGTTCAAATACATACCAATTTTCATTCTTGTCATCTCAATGTCAAATTGCTGTTTATTTTCGAGTAACATATGATCTTTTTCTTTAAATAAACCAGAAATCTTTCTGTTTTCATCTTTCTGGTTTTCAATCACTTTTAAAAGCTCTTCATTTTTATTCTGTAGTAATTCCTGACTCTTCAGTGACTCTTCTAATTGATTTTGCAGTGAGTTGTTCAATGACTGAAGAGAAAACACTGCAAGATAAAATAGACCAACTAACTTTCCCAGTTTAAAAATTACAAACCTGAAAAAGATCAGTTCTTAAAAATGAATAGTCCTGTGATTTATTGATTTTGAATTAAAACTTATACTCTTAGTTGTTCTATGTAAATACTAGAATTATTTTTAAAAATTGACTGGCAAGTGATGGAACACCTGACCTTGCATGTGTGAGGCCTAGAGTTCAACCCCCAGCATCTGCCCACGTCACTGGGATCCACAGACCACAAGTAAAAGGACAAATATATCACATTCCTTTTAATTATTATGAAGTACATGACATCCTTCACTTAACAAACACAGCCTTGAAAGTGTGCTTACTATTGTAGGGCACTATACTAAAATCTGGGCATCGAGCAGTGAACATAGTCCTTATTCTCAGGAGTCAGAGAATCCTATAACTAGTAATAAATGCTCTCAAGGAAACAACAGATAGGTAAAAGGACAAAGAATAAAGAAAGATAAGCTACTTTGACTGGTAACATTCCCCCCCCCCCCCATTTACTGCCATGGTCTACTGAATCCACCATCCATCACTACCCTAGAGTTTATTGGTAGTGAAATTAAAGTGATCTTTTGCATATTATTTTTCCAAAAAGGTAAAGTGAACCCTTTCATGTAGTATTTGTGATGGGTGCTATATTTTAGTTATTTTAAAGAGATATTGACATATTTAAATAATTAAGCTGCCAGTGTGAAATACTCCCAAATTTCATTTTGTTGACCTCTTTTAAAAATGTTTACAATTAAAAAATATTTTATAATGCTGTGTAAAAAATGATAATTTTTATGGGGACAAATTTTATCAATCTTTTCCTTGATATTCCTCCTGGTACATGAGTTTTTGTCCGGCTCTTCTCCCACACCCTCCTGCAAAAATAACCAAGTTCTCACCTCTTCCTATAGTACTATTCTGGTTTTTGTTTTGTTTTATTTACTTTCATTTTAGCCATGATCTGTCAGGACAATTTAGTGCTATCTGTGAAAATTTCACTCTATATGCCATTTCACATAGCAGCTCTACTAATATAATCTATTAATATGCTCAGATATGTACACGAAGACATTTGCAGGAGGATTTTCACTGCAGCATTGCTCTGTACACTGAGAAAAGGACTAAGCATCTCCATATGCACCAACAGAGGACTCTACATGACGGCAGAACTGCTTACATAGACTACCCAAGTAATTCTTACACAGAAGTATATTTATGAATTGTGAGACAAAAATACCCTACATGTTAAGTGAATTGACTGTAAACTGCAAAAGAATATACACAGTACAATCTCATGTTTGCAGGTTGGAGAGCTAGTACAGCAGACAGGATGCTTACCTGGCATATGGCTAACCTGTGGTTGGTCCACAGTACCCCACTTAGTTCCCTGAGTATTTGCCAGGAGTGATCCCTGAGCACAAAGCCAGTCGTAAGCCCTGAGAACAGTTGGGTGCTGTGGCCCAGAACTAAAACATAAGTAAATAAAAAAAAAGAAGAAAAAGTACAAAGATAATATTTCTATTAATACCTTGCACATGGCATTCAATAACTACTCAAGAAATCAATCAGTCATATATAATCAGAGAACTGTGAAATGAAATATACTTTTTTATAAGAAACAAATGGGAATTTTTTTGGTAGGTAATGTTCCTGAACTATTTTAAATGTTAATAGAAATAGTATTCTATTTCTTAATGCCGATTAAAGAGTCTACTTAGAAGAATAAGAAAGTTCAATTTAAAAATACTCTTTTGATCTTCCAAGCAATATGCACAGGGCCTGATGCTGCCTGGGCCGAGCAGTGCTGGGGGCAACGAGAGCAATCTTAGTGGTGCTTAAGAGGTGATGCAGTACTGAGAATCACACTGAGTGTCAAAAATACAAGAGATGAGCTGTGCCAGCCCTGGGAGCTGTTTCCCTGGGGTAAAACAGTCAACTCTTTATCAGCACTTCTAAGTGACAAAGAATTTAGCAAGGGTTCTTACATTTCTTTTACATACATTCAAGGTTGGAATCCAAAGAACCTGATGCCTTTTGAGTTTCTTCTTGTTCTTTAAGTTGCTGGTTCAAAATTCTTAGTTGCCTGAAAAAATAAAATGAAATAGGAATGTCAGCATCCATTGAACAGTGCACATCTGATCACAAAGCAGAAATCCACATTCACCCCAACAAAAGACAAACAGCAGATGAGAGGGGAGACAGGAGGGGGGTGGGAGGAAAGAGGATTGCCCGGGGCAGCACAGAACATCCCCTCCCTGGAAAAGAGCGGACTCCCACCCACATCCAGCCCAGTCCCTTTCCTCTTCCGCATGGCTTTTCAGTGACTTCCTTATTTTTTCTATTCATTTCCTATCTCCTCTTGCTATTTTCTTCTTCCTTCCTTCTCTGTATTTTCATTATTGGAGTAATCATTTACTTTTAAAAAGCTCTATCATCAGATCGACTAGAGTATCTATACAAACTGCTAGCTCTTTCCTTGATGTTTCCACATAGTGAGGAAAGAGCTGTAAAATGCACATCATTTTTTCCGTAGGATAACACTGTTTTGTCCATCCTGCATAGCCTCAGGTAGTTTAGGTTTATTGGGTTGCTCCCATCACAGTGCTCCCATTCCTTTGTGTTTACCCATAACTTCTTTCATTGTGCTCTGCTGACTTGTAAATATTGTATTTTTCTTCTCCTTAAGTCCTTTGCATAGTTAATTCAGAGCAATGTCCTTTTTGTATGGACACAAGAAGACAGCACATGCTATGCTTTTGTAATGTGACTCTGTGTTATTTTCCTCCTGGGCATCTATTCTCTTGACCTAAGCCTCAGCTGCCCTTACTTCCTAGCGCCCCCAAAAGCAGGTCCCAACGAGGGACTGACTGAACCAGGGCACGCGGTAAGCTATGTGCTACCCTGGCATTGAGATGGGACTGCCACAATTCTTAACTATAAGTTAAAAGCTCGATCGTGGACAAATGCTGTCATGATCCAGAACGGTGAGACTAGGACCCTGCTAGGGATAGGAAAGACTAATCTGGCCTGAGAACTATAGTCTGAGATCGAGATTACCCCAGGAGAGCAATTCTGTAAGCTTAATGCATCTCTTACTGTGTCTATACAAAATGATTAATATTATAAATGCTTATGTGTTTGTTCGACAAGGAGAGGAGAAACACACCCATGGGATTCCGCCCTTAGGTGGGTCATCCTGCTGAAAGAGAATAGAAGCAGCAACCCCGAGGGAAAGAACTTTACCCCATTGACTGTGAGGGCACATATGTGTAAGCCCAACCCCCTCAGATTTTGGGGATTTAACTAGGCGGTAAGAGGGGTTCAGGATCCAGAGCCAGAGCCAGAAGGTGAAAAGGGGTTCCAGATAAGGGGCCGAGAGAGAAGGAGAGAGAGACAGGAGTGAATGAGGATGAGATAAAATAACGGGCATCTGATCAATCAACCGGCTTGGTCCTCGCTTCCTCTGCCGTTTGCCCCAGGGCCTGGGCCACCCCAGTTGGGGAAGCGGCCCGGGCCCCTCGGAACCTGGGCTGCCAGGGGAAGAGTCGTTGAGATCACCCCCTGGCTGCCCTCAGAGATTTTATACAATTTATACTTTTTTTTTTTTTTTTGGTTTTTTGGGCCATAGCTGGTGGTACTCAGTACTTACTCCTTGCTCTGAGCTCAGAGATCACTCCTGGTGGGCTCAGGGGACAATATGGCAAGCTGGGGATCAAATTGAGGCCAATCTCAGTAAGACAATGGCCCTTCCAGTTGTACTATGACTCCTCCCCCTCATAATTTATTTCTTACATGGAAAGTTTAATAAGCTTATTTAAGAGAATGTCAATAAGCAGCTGCTTTGTCCTACCACAAACTTCATGACATCAAGCAACTTCACAACAAGGAACATAAAAAAAGAAATACAAAAATGTTCTCTGGTGGGCCCAAGCCATAGTACAGCCAGTAGGACACTTGGCCGACCCAGATTCTATCCCTGGCATCCCATATGGTCCCCTGGCCTCTCCCAGGAGTGATCCCAAGTGCAGAGTCAGAAGTAACCCCTGAGCACTGCCAGCCGTACCTCCCCTTTTCCCCCGCCCCCCAAAAATAAGTGTTCTGGTCCAAAGGGATAGTAGAGGGATGATGTGTGTGCCCTGTAGGTGGTGGGCCCAGGTTCGATCCCCGGCACCCCAAATGGTCTTCAAGCACCCAGTAGTGATCCTGAACTCAGAGCCGAGGAGCAACTGGGAGAAGCCCTCAAACCCCACTCCTTCCTCCCAAATGAGCGTCTGGGCTGTAGGAATTCAATGGGGTGAATACATGGGTATGGCCCATAATCCAAAAGGAGTTATCGCATAAGTCACGGCTAAAGAAATTGATCCTTAACATCTTTCCGGAATTACCTGAAGTACTCATTTCAGCATTCTCATTAAAGCATTTTGTTATAAAATCTAAAATGTTACATATCTTCCATGTGTTAGTTAGAGATTAAAGAGCTAAACCTAAAACATACAAACAAAACTCAACACAACTAGGCTTTGGTGGAAATCTATATGAACTAGAAATGCACACACTTTGAAGGAAAACTCTTCTAAGCAAAATTAAGATCCAGTAGTACCAAAAAAAAGAAGGACGGACTTGGGGCCAGAAAGTACAGTGGGTTGGGTGATGGCCTTGTAAGGAGGGTGTCCAGGTTCACTGGGCGCAAGCAACAGCCTTGCACTGTTCAGGGGTGTCCCAGGCCCCGGGTACAATCTAAACTAAACTGACTAAACAGTTTAAACCAAGTTTAAACAGACTAAACTAAACAGACACCCACACATACTGAAATGGAAATCCCTCTAAAACATGATGTGAAGCAGAAAACCATAAACTACTGAACAATATGCTATGATCCCGTATTTTAATAAAACTTTCATGTTTTAAGATGCGTGTCATCCTTGCGCAGGGGCCATGCTAATCTTCTCTGTATCGTTCCAATTTTAGTATATGTGCTGCCGAAGCGATAGCACAGCGGGTAGGGCGTTTGCCTTACAAGCGGCCAACATTGCCGACCCAAGTTCGATTCCTCCGCCCCTCTCGGAGAGCCCGGCAAGCTACCGAGAGTATTCGATATGCCAGACACAGTAACAACAAAGTCTCCAATGGAGACGTTACTGGGCCCGCTCGAGCAAATCGACGATCAACGGGAGGGCCTTTACCTTTTAAGATGATTCCTCTTTGGGCTGGAATGATAGTACAGCAGGTAGGGCACTTGCCTTGCACACAGCTGACCCAGGTTCAATCCTAGCATCCCATATGGTCCCCTGAGCACCGCCAGGAGTCATTCCTGAATGCAGAGCCAGGAATAACCCCTGCGCATTCCTGGGTGTGACCCAAAGAACAAAAAATTTTAAAATTTTTAAAAATAAAATGATTCCTCTTCACAACAGAATACAACAAAGATCTAGAAAAGATCTAGAAAATCTGGCAGACTTAGCACAGCGGTAGGGCGTTTGCCTTGCACGCAGCCAACATGGCCGGCCCGAGTTCGATTCCTCCGCCCCTCTCGGAGAGCCCGGCAAGCTACCGAGAGTATCTCGCCCGCACGGCAGAGCCTGGCAAGCTCCCCATGACGTATTCGATATGCCAGACACAGTAACAAGTCTCACGTGGAGACGTTACTGGGCCCGCTCGAGCAAATGTAACTTAAGAGTTTACTGGAAAACTCTTGGCCTCTCATGAAGGGTGTGTCAGACTATGACAACTGTTCTGGACATCTCTTGTTAGATTCTTCCCTTTCCAACAAGTCAATCTAAACTTTTCTTCACTCGAGTACATGAATCTTCCCTCTAGCCTCCTCCTCTCAGGAAGATCAAGAGGCAGAGTGGAAAAGTCACTCTAAGAAACAAAAAGGTCTATCTTGTGTATCAGTGAAAAAGAAAGGGGCCTCAAGATGCTAACTCAGTCACCCTGTGGTCACCAACTTCCTGATCAAGGATTTAGAAAACCAGTTCCAGCCAGCTGTGGAAGCAGGCTCAGTGAACAGAACCCTGACCCTTTTTCACTTTTCTCCTCATTAAGCCCAATACATATAAACTTACATGCCTCTTAGCTGCATAATTAGATGCTAATGACACATGACGTATGAGCAAGCACAGTCCTTAAAGGCACGCACTCCTTTAACAGAGCCCAGTCAAGTCTTTACACATGACCCCGATGACCCTTGATGCATGTTCCTCCTCTTCTGTAAACGCACTCTTTAAAAAAGCTGTGTCTCTCTGCTGTTACTTACATGTACTGTTCTGCAGTTCTTTCTCCAAGAACCTGGTGTTCCATCTGGAGGTGACTTTTAGCTCTATTTCTGAACCAGAAGAGCGTTAAGTCTCAGAGCAGCTTTCCTTGGCTCCCGAGACTTGGGGTGGCAGACGTTAATTCCCAGACTTAGCAATCAAGTGGACCTAGGTGAGGCTTGATGGCCACCCTGGAGAACACTCAGGGGAGTTACCTGTGAGAGTATTGACTCACCGCACCCTCATACAGTCTGTGGTCTCCCTAAATCTATGCTCCTGTAACAGAATACTTCCTAATTTCACCTCAAATGATACTGTTTAGAGACAAACTCTGTAATTCTTCACTCACAGGTTATAGATATCTATCCATCTATACGTTATTCCTTTCTTTGAATTTCAGAGAAGATGCAACTCAGTTGCATCCTGGATCCCATCTCCTCTTAACTCCAAAGGATTCTGCTCCTACTGCAGCCCTTTTAGCTAATCAGGGGTTTCTTCTGCTTTCCTGGTTGAGATGCCTGAGCTACAAAACAAAAGAGCCAATTCTACATCTAAGAAGATTTACCTTCCACCGGCAAAGGTCCACTAGCTATTATGTCTCCTTCCAGCTTCCATTGTCAGGCTTTGAAAAAAACATGACCGTTCTGAAAAACCTCACACTACTCACAGCACAGGAGCACAGCAAACCCCAGGGGAAGGTGCATCAAAGCCCACTAAGTTTTATGAGTGAAAGAATAACACCAAAGACTCAATCAGCACCAAGCAGCTCAGTAAATCCTCAATAACTTTAATGACATCCTGGTGAAGATGTTTAATGAGCTGAAAAAAATAATGGCACAGGTCGTCAGCAAAGCCAGCACGGCACATGCAAGCCTGAGTGCTACAATAAGAAAACCGTAAGTCGGGAGGAAGAGTATGGGTGGTGATACAAAAAGTCATTAGAAGTTCTGGACAGCAGAGCAACAGCAGCTGAGCAAAAGATGGAGGAGACCCAGATGAGATGAAAGAAACCGCTAGGAAACAACAGGAGGAAAGAAATGAAGAGCATACAAGAGAGCTATGGAATACAAAGGCATACAAGAGGAACAGTACAAGAATCACAGAGTACCTGAAGAACAGGAAGGAAAAACTGATAAAGAAACAATAGTTACATAATTTATAAGAATTTCCCAAAGTTGGGGGCTAGAGAGTTATTACAGCAGGGAGGGCATTTGCCTTGCACACAGCTGGCCTGGGTGTGATCCCTAAGCATGGCTAGCTGTGATCGCCCCAAAAAGCAAAAAAAAAAATACCCCAATGTTGAGAGGAATACAGGCAAAGAGATTCAAGAAACCCAAAGGCCCCAGCAAATACAGATTCAACTAAGAAAACTTCAAGACACATTGTACTTCGTGACAAAAGCCGAAGAAAGAGAATATTGAAAGCAGCGAGATCAAAGAAGAAACTTCCATACAAAGGAAAGTCCGAAAGAGCCACAGCAGATCAGATGAGACTCTAAGCCAGAGGAGAGTGAGAGATGGAGCATATCAATGAAACAAACACCTCACCAAGAACACTCTATCCAGCCAGATTATTGCTCAGATCTGAAGGAATGGTACAGAGCTTCAGGGTCAGGCAACAGCTTAGGCAATTCATAGCCTCAAAACCAGGCCCAGCTTCTGTGAGAGGCTTTATTTCTTAAAAAAATTTAAAGTATTCAATTCAACTTAATTTCATTTATTTATTTAGGCTTTGGAGGCCACACCCAGCGGTGCTCAGCTGTTCCTCCTGGCTCTGCACTCAAGAATCACTCCTGCCGGTGCTTGGGGGACCATTTGGGATGCCGGGAACCAAACCCAGGTCAAACCCAAGTTGGCCACATGCAAGATAAATCCCCTGCCCACTGCTCTACCACTCCAGCCCCTGCAAGAAGGACCTTCTTTAAAGGACAGGACAAACTTCCCACTATGTGGCACTGAGTATGGCACATTTATGGTGTTATGGCTGTGCCCTACTAGATTAGGAAAGGTGTGTTTATACCTAGCTCGTTAAGGAATTTGATACATTTTCAATAATAAATTAACATTTTATTTATATGTTTTATGTCTTATCAATTCTTTTACTATAGATTTCTATTGCAACCTTTTACTTGTTAACGTAGACATGTATGCAGTACCTACAATATATATTTAATATAAAACCAGTATTTCTGTTCTTAGAATAAAGCACTGTGCTTTGACAGGCCTATTCAAATTTTTCCCTTTACATTTTTCTAATCAGGGGCTGGAGCGATAGCACAGCAGGGAGGGCGTTTGCCTTGCACTCAGCCAACCCAGGTTCGATTCCCAGCATCCCATATGGTCCCCCGAGCACCGCCAGGGGTGATTCCTGAGTGCAGAGCCAGGAGTAACCCCTGAGCACTGCCGGGTGTGACCCAAAAAGCAAAATAAATAAATAAATATATATATATATTTTAATCCTCTTCACTTACTAAATTATATATTTCTCGGCTTTATCTATTTTATGTAAACTTAAATATTAGCAAAGATTTTTTAAGTTTTCTTAATAATAGGAAAGACATGACTATTACAACAATGAGACCCAAGTACAAAATAAAATTTAAGGCAACATATTTTAAATGCCAGAGTTGAAAACGTACTTATGTAAATAATAGGCACTATGTAATACTGTATTAAATTACTTGAATTTCTTTATTTACATAGATTAAAAGCATATAGCAATCATCATAAACTGATTATTTGATGTACTTCATGTTTTAAAGTTAAAGAACCATTATTTAGAGTTACTGACAACAAATGAGTTTGGGGCATACTGCATTTCAATACCCACCACCAGTGCTCGCTTCCCTCTCCCAGTGCTCCGATGCTCCCTCCACCCCACCCCGCAGACCCTGCCATGGTCCTGCAGAAGTTCTGCGCTTGCTCCCCACTTTGTCATCCTGGTCCTGCCTCCTCTCTCAGATTTCCTTCCTTCCTTCCTTTTTGATATTCCCCCCCCCCCCCCCCATCCTTCACTGTCGAGTGCTGTTGACTGGTGCAGTAACCAGGCATGGGGCAGATCCTGGTTGTGGCGTCCACACACTTGGCTGGGCCGTGTGCCAAGGGCTGCACTCCCAAGCCCAGGTGCCGGAGCATGTGCTCCCAGGAGCTGCTCTCGTTAGCTGAGATGCTCACACACATTTTGGTTTCAGTGCTCACTGGAGGTCACTGTCCTCATACGTGTGCTTGCAGGGGTCAGCTTCCTGGCCATGTTGCCTACCCATCTTTTAAGTGGCAGTGCTCACACTTCCGCGGCTGTAGTGTCGCCGGAACTCACCTGCAGCCCAGTGATCACATCTGGCTAAGCGGTGACACTGGAACTGAACGTGTGACCTCCTACTCTCAAGGCAAGTGCTTTACGCCACTGAGCTATTCCTTTAGGCTCTCCTTCTTGCATCCTTTCACAGGTTCCTCTTCTTCTGTCCTTTCCTTAAAAATCTATTTTTCTATGGGGGTATGGTGCCGCCAGCAGGTCAATCTGTACCTGTGAGGCGAGTGCATCAGCAGCCTCATGATGCCTTCAGACTTCCAGACACCCCAAAATTGCTGCTGTGCCTTTGGCCAGACCCCAAACACTTGGGGCAAAGTTTACCAAGAAAGTAAACGGCCAAAAGTTAGGTATGTGGGAGACACACCCACAAACCACCTCCGGCTCAGCTATATAATTGGAGGCAAGGCCTCTTTGGTTCCTGATTGAACTGC